TTGTTTATAAAAATGACTATATTTACTGTGCAATGTATAAAAGACAATCTTACATTTGAAACACTTTTATTTATGTATTCATTAATTCATCCTCCGTTTCTTCATTAAATAATCAAATAATAATTTATTTATTCATTCAATTCATTCCAACGTTAACATTCCAGTGTATAAAATATGTAATATACGAGATCAATAATTTGTCCTTTAAATCGTTTATCAAACTTTACCTTTTAGATAATATATGACGCTTGATTACAAGCAATGTGGTCATCGTTCACGTAAACTTTCACCTCAAATCACACCACCTAAGAAGGTAAATAAGCAAGAAATTGTGGTGTTTTCGCCGAAAATCAAAGTAAGCTATTAACATTAATTAAAAGTTGGAGTTTTGGCAGATTCTAAGTTTTCGTACTGCCAAATGCGATGTTTTTACATTTGAGTTAAACTTTCCCCTGCGACACTCCCTCTATAGACACTGTGCTTTCGTAACGTTATAATGAACGTTGATAGATGAAAGTCACGTGGTTCAAAACGACAGCTGTGTTTTATTGTGCAGTCGTGCGTCATTTACAATATAACAAATCTCCTCAAACTATTATTTTTCAATGACGAACGACTAAAGATTACAACACTATCACGAGAACGACATATTCCTGTCACCTATAAATAAATAAAACTATTAGGCCAGAGAAACTGTCGATAGTCGTATTGTGAGTTGTATACAGTTATGTACATTGACATATATTTATTATTTGTATATGATTCGTTTGAGGTAATGTTGTTTATTTCTTTATATTTTAGTTGTTGTCACGACAACGCAGACTTTGTTAACATTGATTCATTTATGCATTCATTATATTAACGTTGAGGGCGTATGTTTGAACGTATCAAGTAACACGTAAGTCAGTCTGACTATTATTAGTGTTCATTTGTGAGTGGAATGTTTCAAGTAACAAGAAGCAACACTGGTCTATCCATGTTCCTAACACGTGTGCACAGTACCTAATGGAATTACATATATATTGTTGAGTATTGTTTATTTCTCTTTAGTAATAAACATACATGGAACATGATGACAAGTCTTTATAAGTTCATTCATTTCCATATCTCATTCATATATTGAAAAGTTTGGATTGGGTTGTGTGGAGAGTAATACTGGGTTTGGTCAGCAAGACACATCGTATGCACATACGGAGTTCTTTGTCAAGGAAATATTGTCCTGGGGTTCTCGTAGAACTTTAAATATTTGAATAGTCTTCTTTTATTTCATACATGTACACACTTTTTAAAAGTTCACCTATTGTAAATTAATGCATATATATATACATATATACATATATATATATATACATATATATATATAGATTTATATATATATAATGCATACGTACAAAACTTGAATTTGTAATTGTTGACAAGTCTTGTAACAAATAAAAAATAAAATTTAATATATATTCAGCATAAAGAATTGATTGTGAATTATTTTTTATACACGCGTTAGTGGTACATAAGGGTCAGTCAGTTGTCCACGTGAACGTTGGGGGCAGTATTCGTACCACAAAACGACTTTTTCTGCGAAATATAATTATACCGTGTTTACGTTTTGTAATATACTTTTCAACCCGAAGTAACTGATGGATTAACCCGTCCACAGCTAAATAGTTTATAAATTTAGAGAGCGTGCATGCTCGTCCAACAACAGTATATTAACTAGTTTATGGAACAGTGATTTGAGATGGAAGTCAGCCTTGTTGCAGCGTTGGAATGAAATGCTGAACTGAGATGCTATGTGCAATTACGTAATAGCAAGCGAACTATCATTTCCTGTTTATGTTTCTTGTTCTTTCTAGTATTTATTTACTATTATTATTATTATTTTTTTGTGTGTATGTGTGGATATGGACTTATTAGTCTGAAATAAATAGTATATTAAATCATTTTTGTTACCTTTCACATTATAAAGCATACATTATGTATTTTATATTTTTCAAAAACATGCACTGTTTCAACCTTAAACACCCTACCATACATGTCCCATGCATACATGTACACATGTTCATAACAGTAACTGAAACACTTTTTCCCAAAACCTGTTTTAATTTGAAACAATTCAGAAAACAAACGTATATGCAATATTTCAAGCTAAAACACCTGACTATACATGATTGCATAAGTGTTTATATACAAGACACTTTTGTATGCAGTCTACTGTACTATGCTTATTATTAAATGCGTTTAATTTTCAATACATATTTGATATTGATTGTGTTTTGTGCGAAAGCAATTTTTAAAGTGTTGCGATGATAAAAACACTTTTTCAATACATATTTTTGGCGGAAACACAAATATGCGTTTGTCAAAATGCTGTGATAGTAAACACTTCATTAAAACATGTCCACGGTTGATACACTATTCCACGTGTCGTGAACATAAACACTTTACAAAATGTGTGTCTAGAAAAAATACTTTTAAAAGTGTTGTGATAATAAGCACTTTTCAAAACATTTTCCAGGTGGCAACACTTTACAAAACGTGTCTAGTGAATGTACTTTCAAAGGTGTTTTGATAATAAGCACTTTTAGATACATGTTCCTAGTGGCAACAATTTACAAAATGTGTGTTTAGTAAAAGTACTTTTAAAAATGTTGTGATAATAAGCACTTTTCAAAACATGTTCCTGGTGGCAACACTTTACAAAACGTGTCTAGTGAATGTACTTTCAACAGTGTTGTGATAATAAGCACTTTTAAATACATGTTCCTAGTGGCAACACTTTACAAAATGTGTGTCTAGTAACAGTACTTTTATAAGTGTTGTGATAATAAGCACTTTTCAATACATGTTTCTGGTGGCAACACTTTACAAAATGGCATTTTACCTTGCCCGTATCATCAAAGACGACAGGGAAAGGTATACATTTTATTAAGGGAAATATGTCTGTCGTCGTCGTCGTTGTTGTCGTTAATAATTGTTAATGTGTGCACAATAATTTGTTTTTTTGTAATTTTATCATATTATTTCGTAGTCATGTTATTTTATACCCTATTTATGCTTTTCTTTAATGTGTTCTCGTCATTTTTGCAGTGGTTTGTATAATTCTATGTTAATTTTTATATCTATATGCTGTGCATGAAAAACCATTTATGGATGTACTGTTCTAAATGAATAAATTACAAATTACAATTACAAACGACAAATGTCCTGTGTGAAAATATCATGCAAAAATTGATACAAATTTTTGACTGTTTCTACTTGACTGATTACTGGTGATACACATGCAAAGATCACGGGTCCCATACCAATACAATAATTGCACAGTCTAATACATATTTGCAAACATACCAATCAAATAAATGAACTATTTTAACAGAAAACAAGGTGTTAGATAATCGATATACGCACTCCTCCTTTGGGTGCTACAATTTTGATCAAGATCTGAAGCCTATAGAAAATTATGTCTGTTCAGTCCAAAGTTATCAAATCAAATATAATGAAATCCTGTTCAAATTTACATTATCTGCTCAAAATGTTTGAGCATATGATGTTTGTTTTGATGTGTTGAATACAGAATGACATACATTTGTGATTCAAGACAAAAATACCTCTATTTTTGCTATACTTGAATTAATAAATTTTTTCTTCAATAAAGTATACCAAAATATCATTCGCACTGTAGTTGATTTCGTTTAGTGGAGAGAAACATAAAAATATAGTCTGCTCTAAATGTTTGCCCTGAATTGACCCCTCCCCTCAAAGAGTTATTCAGCCCTCGATATGAGCCATAAATTATAACCTCTTGCATGCAGATATGCTGCCCCCATTATGTGCCCCAAATATACCCCCCTCACACAGAGATATGCTAATTTTATTTCCTCAATATGTGTAGTTATTCTGCTCCCAATATGAATTATTATCCCAGAACAGAAGTTCTGTTCCCAATGTGTGATGTGAACTATACTCCTCACAGACTATGAATAATAACTTTGTAAAGCAATATTTTGGCCCCAATATGGTCCATTAATTATACCCCCTCAGATGTGCTATGAATGAATACAACAATGCATACAACTACAGTTATTCGCATACTAGAAATTATGTCTATAAAATAATTAAACAAATTAGGCACCAAAGCAATGTTTTTGTAAGATATTTACATCAACTAAGGACTTTTGGTAGACTTCCACTGCTTTTCAACCCCAAAACTTGTTTGTACTCATAATTAATTATGACATTGCATATTCATATTGAAACAAACTATGATAAAGGAAATAATATTATATAACAAAGGGCAAGGTCACCAGAGTTAAACTATGTTTATGCGTTTGTTATTCAAGAGCATCTGTTTTGACTAATCGTATAGTAAATCGGGCAATCTGACTTTTTCGTTCATTCGTATCATATTTGTATATGAAAAATAATAAAATAAACTGCCAAAACTATTTAGTAAGCCATGCACAATTAATTAGCTGCCGGGCAGATGGGCTGCTTCATTTTATTTATTTGTTTTAACAAAACAATAGCATTCATATTAAGCCTTGTCAATCAGTGCATTTTTTTCAACGTAACAGTGATTTCCATTTTTTGACTTAGTAATATATCAGTGATTACGACCTGTAAGAGTTCGTAGGACTTGTAGTGTTTTCCCATACGGACAATATAGCTTCACGAGCGCCGTCCCATGTTCTAGGCCCCTGTAAGCGATACGTATACGGAACCTGAGGCCCATACCAACACGCCATAGCTAACCGAGGATCCGAAATGAGCATCTTCCAGAATGATGGATTTACACCAATTTCCTCAGCCAATTCTTCTTGATAAGGAAGGGTACTTATCTGTAGAAAAAAAAGAAACAACAGAATTCGAAAACATGTGTTCAGCAAAATCATTTACATTCTTTTTAATGTAGCTGTGTTATGAATATTACAAACTATTATGATCATTTATTAAAAATAAAAATCTTATTATTATTTATTTATATTTGGCTACTATTTATTGTCACTGATATTTGTTTCTATTTTTCTATTTTAATAAAAATTCTTTATCTCTCTTTTTCTTTCCATGGTTGAGGAATTACTCTAGCTATCGCAGAAAATATCATATAATATGATAAACTTGATTGGGCACTGTTATTTATATATCATGGTGGAAGATTGACAGTGTCCTACATAAGTTTGCCAGATCCATGGGTATTTTGAAGTCATACCAACAATTTATTTATGATGAGAGAAACTTTATTATAGTGAGGAAAGAGTCTTGAAAATAAACTTACGGAACGGTAGAATCTTCCATATTTTGGTTTCTTCTCGATATATGCACGCATTTGTTCTTTACTGGGTAGCTTGACACGCTTAACGAATACGTTGACGGCCCACCTTGCTTGAAGTTCAAGGGCAGGGAATGCAGCTCCAGCTGAAGCAAACATCCCAATCAAAGCCATTCTATCTGGTTCATCCACACCCACGGGAAACACCAGTTTGTAAAGCTGCAGATTATCTGACTCGTCTATTCATTGAGTGGAGAAGATGAAAATAATATCAAATATCCATCAGTCACATAGTTCTCGACAATTTCTGGTCGAGGTATTTGAACAAGAATCCCGTGATTAAATATGCGAAAATATCCATCGATATATGACATGGAATATTCAAAAAATAATAATAGATTAAGTACTAATAATCGGGGGGGGGGGTCGGTATGGCGAATTAATTAGAACGAACATCATCAATAATTATGAGTTTAGGAAAACTAATCAGATACAGAATATCTGGTGACAATGGCAGATGTATAACTATAATCTATGATCATGACATAGAAATAGAGACATTTACCAAACACCCAAGTGTCCTTGAGAAATGGAAAAGCTATTTTATAACCAGTGGCGAAGACGACGGCACCTATATCATCTAGAATTCTCCCATCTACAAGAGTTACACTGTTTTTCCCCAATTTTTCAATTCCGACCACAGGTTCCAGCTTTCCTTGTACGATGCGGTCTTGTATGTCATCATTTGCCATAATTGACGCTGTTGCGGGTTCCGAGCACTTGAAATATAAGTGTATGGTTTAAGCTTTAATTTGATGTTTGTTGGAGCTGAATCCTTGTTCGAAAACTGTTTCATTATAAACATTATATAGAAACTAGCGTCACTTGCCTGTAAACCTATTTTTGTGTGGTCTTGGATACGCCATTTTGAAATTTTGTCAAGAATCCTACCTCTGTCCACTACAGATCTTGAAGACAAGAGATCCCATGGTATGCACTGCACTCCAATGCGTGGAAATACCAAGGTACCATTTCGCATACTTAAAAACACCTACAAGAGAACAATAACAAGTAGATATGTGGTAAGGCATCTCCTTATAATATCATGCTTCATAATACTACAGGTTATAACACATTTAACATAGTGGACCTGTGAGTCTATTTGATATCGGTAGATTGTATTGTGTGTTTATTGTATCTTAATTAAGGCCGATGTCATTATTGATATTATGTGTCTACATAATCTCACTTAGTAGTATATGGTATAAATTACTCATCTTGTGTGATCTCAATCAGTCTTGTCTGCATTCCTAAATTAAATATTCAAGTCATAACCTTCAAACTTCACAACTGTTTGTGCCAAACCATTACGTTCATATATCCCCAAATGTAATACCTCATTGACTAAGCAATACAATTTGATGGCCAGCTGTCGGCACTAAATTGGACGAAACCCGGCGCGATAGCATTGACACGCCGACTCCGGGATTCCTACATATTATACCTGTATAGATCCATTTCTAGCTAGTTCACACGCAACTTCACCAGCGGTATTGGCAGCTCCTATTAACGAAAATAAAAATCGGTTCTTACAAAACAGTATAAATATTGAATCATACAGAAACTATTTGTGCATATTTATTAAACAAGTCACTTTATTGAAGATTGTAAATCATATAACACAATTCCACGATTCGTACGTGCATCTATGGCTTTTTATCGCGTTTAACCCATTAGCATAAACACAATCTATACTTCGTGACACACTATTAAATATCTGATAATTTTTTCCGTCATATTTTCTTTCGACTTTCACGCATCAAATGATGACAAGCCAACTACAAGGACTATGGGCAGATATGTCAGAATCTAGCCAAAGCATTCAATGTAATTTTAAATATTAACATATTGTATAAACATTAGGATGATACCAATATAATTATTTTTTTATTCAGGAAATTCGATGCATCTTACTGAAAATGTCGACACTCCTGAAAGCGTTGAATTAGATATAAAAAAGCAAGGACGGGTATTTTATAGCGGTTCTCTTTGGAGAATTTGGCGAGAACTAATAATCGAACGTAAGCCAATCATAATCTGAACAGTTATTCGCAAGCTTCTTGAGCCGATTGTCTTTATTGTGTTTGATGAACTGAAACATAAAATGCGGCTCAATAAAAAGTGATCAGAGATCATTTTCCTGGTATGATTGACCTAGTCATTTCATTGTGTGTAATTGTTATGATAAGGTTCAGGGGTGGATAACAAGAGACTATAACTATAAAGATGACGTTATTGAAACTCCTGCCGTGATGTGTCAAAGCACCCACTTATATACACCAGTTTACATTCCTTCCATTTTGGCGGAAAGTGACTTTGGCCTTGTACATGATTGGGTAATAGGGAGACGAGCTGATTGGTAAATAACTATTAATGAGGTTGTTTTATTGCCTAAAATTAACGTACTATGATTGGCTAAATTATTTGTAAGCAGAATCCTAAATCGACTTCAAGCTCAGCTAGTTATATTTCCGATATTCATAACACCTATTCAGTACTTACCAACAACTACAACTCTTTTGTCTTTGAATTTACCTGAATCGCGATACTCATTGGAATGAATCTTAATTCCATCAAAGTTCTCAAATCCAGGGTATGACGGGAAGTGTGTTTCACTGAACACACCTGTGCAAACCATCACATAATCAAATATTTCTTCAGTCTTTCCACCAATGCCATTTGAAATGATCACCGTCCAACCACCATCGATAGCCGTTTCTATTCTTATCACATTAGCGTTAAATGTGATGTATTTTTTCAGAGCAAAGTGATCAGCGTAACTGTGCAAGTACTCGTGTACTCTCAGACGTGACAGGAAAGGTGGCCACGCCTTCGGAAATGGAAAATCGGAGAAGCACGACATCTCCTTGCTATGATTGGTCACTACCGAGTCATATGTGGCAGCTCCTTGACCTTTGCGTAGCTGTTCTGTGTAGTACCAAAGGCCGCCTGCCATGAATAAAAACAATATTCAGTAAATGGATTTTGGTTGTGTGTGTGTGTGTGTGTGTGTGTGTGTGTGTGTGTGTGTGTGTGTGTGTGTGTGTGTGTGTGTGTGTGTGTGTCTGTTTGTCTTATCAACGTTGTGACAAGTTCCATTTAACTTCACACCTACCAAGTAATGACTCTAACTATTGTTCATAATTTATATTAATATTTAATCGAATTTAAGTCAATTTTGCGTAGCTTATTAGGTTTAGTAAAGGGGGGAAGGTATTAATTATTTATATATACTAATAATAATATAACTGTACCAAACCTACCCCTTTACTAAACCTAAGCTTCGCAGATATTACTATGTTAAGTCACGGAGTTATTTCTACTTTGTTGCATTTTCATTTAATTAAACTTGAATTAAAATGCACTTCTATGTTGAATTGCATTGTTTAATTAAACTCAAATTAAATCGCGACCCTATATAGAGTTGCGTTTAATACAAACATAACGCAACTATATTAAAAGTTAATCCAATACGTGTCTCGATCTCGATTTAACATATTTTTAAAAGTTCCTATGTTTTAGCAAAACATTGCCGTTTTACACATGGTTTTTAAGTGTTTACTACGTAAATGCAACTTTAAAAGCACCATACAGATATTTGGAAGCCCTGTATATACACAAATCAAAGAAATGAGCTCAAATGTTTATTCACAGTCAATTGTGAATTTACAAAACTTTTGACATTCTAATCTATATTATAAATACTATTGGATAATATATATGGGTATAGTTTATACTGCTATCCTGGAAGCCAATTCAGAATTAGGGGGTCAAAGCTGTATATTG